GGGGTGGGAGGAGGGCGTCCTCGGGGGGCTGTAGCGGACCCCACCCTGGGGCCTGTGGCATGCTGGGAGGTGAAGTCTTCCGGCACTCGGCTTCTGGGCAGCCACGTTGTTCAGCATGGCATGCTGGGAGATGAGGTCTTCCACCAGGACCGCGCCAAGCAGCCATGATGGCCGGTAGGGCATGCCGGGAGATGTAGTCCTTCGGCACTCAGCTACTGGGCAGCAATGTTGATTTGCAAAAGCCACGGCGTTCTGCTTGCTCCCAGTCTAACGCCAGATGTTGTGGCCAGCATCACCCGTGGCACTTAGAAGACTGGAGATACAAAGCAGCCGTTGTGCCTGGAAGCGGTTGCTCGCTCAGACAATTCTACACCTCAGAAATAACTGCTGCTATGGTTGGTGTTCACTGCTCAACTTGCCCGACAAGCTCAGGGCAGACATTCTGCTTTGCATGTAGTTTTGTGAGTTGCTTTACACCTTCAAAAAAAAGAGCGTTAACTGGTTGCATAGGCACCGACAGGGGCACGTTCCCTCCGTTGTTGTGTGCTGGCCTACGCTCTCGCAACATTCCGCTTGCCTCGTCCCTTCGGTGTCCGGTTCTCCACTGTGCATCTGCAGCAGCAATAAAACAAAGTCAACCAGATGCTGATAAATATCCTAACAAACAGTGAACCTTCCCCATTCTGACTTCTTTGCTTCACTAACCTGAGAAGGCAGTTTGAGATTGGACACATTTGAGCAGAGAGAGGGTGCGGGGTCCTTTCTGTAAAACAGGAGCATCTGCTGGGCAGGGCAGGTCCAGCCTGTGTCTGTGTTACTGTGTGCTCTTTGTCGTCTGTCTTCTGTGTCTCATACCATACCTTACTCAGGTCTTCATGCCTCTGTTGTTCTCTGTGCCCAGCGGGCACATCGGTAGCAATATCAGGGGTCTCGCAAGCCTCGGCTCATCAGCATAATGCTGAGTGCTTTCTCTCTCATGTTATAAATCTAACACGTGGATCTGTCTTGTGTGTCTCGGGTATTAGAAGTTTACGGATAGTCATCATTTTGTGGTGGCGATTAAGGCAGCGTCAGCATCGCTGCTCAAGAGCAGTCTGTTTTCCCGGGGCCCTTTTCTGGGACTCCTTCCCTGCGTCTTAACTTTCTTAGGTCTCTAAGCCTGG